AAGCTCCAGAATGATATAGATGGGTTGGTGGAATGGGCATGAAAGTGGCAGATGGAGTTCAACTCTGATAAGTGTGAGGTAATGCATTTAGAGAGGTCAAACAGTATAATAGAATAGACAATAAATGGGAACATATTGAGAAGGGTAGATGAAGTGAGAGATCTTGGTGTGCAAGCGCACAGGTCCCTAAAGTTAGCAGTACATGCAGATAAGGTAGTAAAGAAGGCATGTGGAATGCTCTCCTTCATTGGCAGAAGTATAGAATACAAAAGAAGGGATGTAATAATGAAACTGCATAAAACACTGGTGAGGTCACAACTGGAGTATTGCCTGAAAGGTGCTCATAACACTACAGGAAGGACATAATTGCTCTGCAGACAGTGCAGAGAATATTTCCTAGAATGGTGTGAGGACTGGAAAATTGTAGCTACGAGGAAAGATTGGAGAGTTTGGGATTGTCTATCTTGGAACAGAGAAGTCTGAGGGACAAGATGACTGAGGAATACAAATTTATGAGGGGTAGAGACAGAGTAGATAGGAACAATCTGTTCCCCTTGACAGAGAGTTCAAAAACAAAGGGGTCATAGATTCAAGCTAAGTGGCAGAAGGATTAGAAAGAATGTGAGGAAAAGACTTTTTTATGCAGATTGGAATGGGTGTCTTGAATTCGCTGCCTGAGTTAGTGGTGGAAACAGAGACCCTGAACTCTTTCAAATAATACCTGGATCTGTACCTTATGTGATATAAACTGCAGGGCTTTCGGCCACGTGCATGATGATGGGATTAGAAAGGGCATCTGGGTGTCTTTGGGTCGGCATGGACCAGATGGGCCGAATGTCCCCCTTCTGTGCTGTATCATTTCTGAAGTTTCGATGGTTTTCCATGCAACTTTCAAATGCTCACCACCCCGACCCGCGCTCCGGGACGCAAGCGCACTGGAAGAATTGACACTTAAAGGCACGATCGCGCTCTGGTCGCTGTACATGTTATGAGGATAGAGAGGGCTGACAGTGGCGAACAGGACATTGAAACCCGGCAGAGGCGCCAGTTCGTTTTATTGCATCAGGATACTCAGACTTTGCCCTCTCCAACAGCTGCTAGAGGCGGAGAGATGGGGGTTTTAAAATTATTTTCTGCCAGAACATTGTCACTACCAAAATCATCCTGCCAGCAGTTGGTTCTGTAGCGATTATACATAACCAATGATGCAGCGCCTATGGCCCAGATCAGAAAAGGAAGACAGAAAGAACTTAAATTTACGCAATTCGAGGCCGGGACAATGCGAATTCCGTAGATATGTTATAACCCCATTGTTACCATGCAGGATAATGAAAGGCAAGAAGTGAAGAATGCGAACCAGAATTGTAACAAATGAAGTTTAGTCACCCGACATTTTCCTCATTTTGTTTTTTCAAGCAGAAGAAACGGACCTTATAACTGGATATCCTGAACCTGTTTGTGAGGAGATCGAGATTCAGGAGCCTGGAGTAGAATGCAGTTAGTGTCAATCACTTTGACACGATTATACCTGCACAGTTAAAATAATAGTTGAACTTTGTGGGAGCAATGCATTCCCTTTTAATTTTTTCGCGCTGTCAGTTCAGCAGACAAGTTTGAATGTTACATGGACCGCGATTCACATGAAAGAAATGTTGAAGATTTCAGTATTGTGTGGGGGTCAATTCCATGCTCAGGCGAAATACAGCACAGGCTGGCGATTGATGCAACCATGTCGCAAAAACTCAAATTGTCTGTCGTCATCCACTCCAGGAGATCTTATTTTTAAAACCATTGCCTCCAAAGGCAATGTTTATTGATATCTCTAATTGGTCCCGTGTAGGTAAGTGGCTTTCTTTAACATCTTGCACTGGGCAGCTCCTCCCAAAATGCTGTTAGGTTTTGTGCTTCAGAATTTTCATCCATTTACAACTAAGGAATAGGAATAATTCGCACCTAATACATTTCCATATCTTACATCGATGAAACCTTGCAGGTAGTAGCTTTACGAAATTCGATAACTCAGTGTTTTGCTTCAGCACTCCGGTATCAAAACAAAATATTGGACAGCCACATTATTTACACCACAATGAACTTTCAAATAAACAACACGTGATAATTTATGAAGTGTTATTCTTCTGAATTGATCTTTATAAAAGTATTTACAACAGGAACGAACTATTTCAATTGCACTACAGGGAATTTGAAACTTTAACTTCGGTGAGCCATAACTAGCTAAATATGTATTTAAATCGATTGATAATAAACTTACATGTAGGAAGATAAATTGTCAGAGTACAGTTAAAAAATCATCAGTTTGCTAACTGTCATTCTCTATAATGAATGAAATCTGTGCACTTTATCACTTCATTTGAAGGTGGAATCGGAGGAGACTATGACGACGTTCAGCAAGCTGCATTGGAGTATTGACAACCACCACCATCACTCAGCAGTTTGTTAACCAATAGACTGATCTACAAGTAATCCCATGTCGACTTGGGTTTATACCGTATCTGCACATTAACATTTGAAAATATAACTATTTTATTTAGAAGCCATCACTAATGGGAAAACTCCTGAGGGCAGTTTCATGAAATGGCCAGGAAAGCGAATTTCTGTGCAGAACATAGTATTTTCGAAGTCTCTACACAATCGGACACTAGTTCGAAATAAAGTTTATTTTTGCGCTTACTTTTCTTTTGGGAAAAATGCTAAACTTCACAAAGTTTCTGTTCTGGCTATTTGCTTTTTCAAAGTCCAGTTCTTGAAGTTTACTAGTGGAATTTTCTTATTTCAGTTTACACTCTAGTTCCAAGAATTACGCTTGACTGCCACTTGTTCCTCGTCCTCAAATACTTCGGAAGTAATAGACTTCAAGTTGCAAAAGCAAAACTGAGGACAATTTAACTTCTAGCGCCATACCAAGAGCACTTAATGTGAAATAAATAAATGTGACTTGCAGTGTTGTGCAGACCATGTCTGTTCCAGTTGTCCACTGTAAATATCGTGATCTCTATTCACCAATATTCGTAATAAACAAATACGGCTCAATAACCATCCCCAGCAGGAGGGAATCTAACAATCCTCCCTTGATTTTCAATGACATTATCGTCTCTGAATTCCCACTATCAACGTACTGGGTGTAAACATTAGCCAGAAACTGAGTTAGACCAGCCATATAAATACTGCTACACTGTAGCAAATCATAAACTAGTAATTATGCATGAATAACTCACCTTCTGTCTCCTCGTGACTCTCGACTGGCTACAAGTCTCAGGTCAGACTTACTATGGAACACTCCCCGTTTGACTGGGTAGGTGCAGCTTGAACAATGTTCAGGAAGCTCAACACCACCCAGGACAAAAAGTCCTATTTGATTTGTATCCCATCCACAACCTTCAACAACCATTCTACTCACCACCAACTCACAACCTCAGTAATGGCCTTTCAAAACCCGTGACCTCATCACCTAGAAGATGAAGGGCAGAAAATGCTTGGGAATACCACCACCTGCAAGTCCCGTTAAAGACATACACCATCTTGATAGACTCATATCTTCATTTTTGCTGGGTCAAAATCCTACATATCATTCCACGTAGCTCTGCGCATACACTCTAATAACTGCAACACTTCATGACGCTGCTCAACAGCACCTTCTCACGGGCAAATAAATGCTGGCATGGCGCATAACACCCAGATCCTATGAACAAATGGAAAAGGAAAATACTCTTCGTAGACAGTCAAATATTTGGCTCATTGGCTTGGCGATCAGAGCAGAAACCTGAGAATTGTTTAAAGGGCTGTTTATTATTGTTTACTCTTCAAATGAATAAATTTCTGAATAACGAATATTAGAAATTAAACTTTAAGTGTAAACACCTGTAATAATGAGACATTCAATGAAAACGGCATCATATCGAACGAAATCGGTTAGCTTTGTTGAGATTCAAACATACAACAATTAATCTCAGCATTTCAGGTTTTCGGAATCCAAATATTCATCACATTCTGCATTTTAATTCAATATTTTGCAAAGGTAATAAGGTGGATTCATGATGTTAATGTTGATGTAGTCTGCATAGATTTTAGCAATGTTTCTGACAAGGTCTCAAGTAGCCAAACAAGTATAGGCTCATGTGATTTAAGAATGTGATAATCTGGAACCAAAACTGCCTCAGTGGCAGGAAACAAAAGGTCACGAGTGTCTATTTTGTGGGCGTGTGATTGGCATGGCTGTTTTCACCGGAGTTCACGGATTGGATCCAATGATTTTCGTTATGTATGTCAATGATTTATTTTTTTTTAAAATAGGGGAGAAAAGCAAGAACTTTGCAGATAGTACAAGCATTATCTGAGTGGTTGAAGAAAACGGTAGACAGTATTTAGAAATCAAAAGACTGCATAGATGAACGAAAAAATGGCCAAAAGAATTGCATCCAGAGAGTGCAAAAGGGACAGAAATATGCGCAATACAGAATTGTATCACGAGAGCTGCGAGGAACATATGAATCATGAAATACAACAAAGCAGGTTCCGGAAGGCAATGGGATGGATGAAAATTATTGTTGTAAAGGTATATAAAATAATCTCATTTACTGGTTAAGGTATGAAGTATAAAATTAGGGAAGATATACTGGAGAAGTGTAACTGAACGGCTTAGAGTGAATAGGTATTACATATTTCATTCCGCAGAAAGGATAATGATTCAGGCTTAGATTTAAAGCACATGGAAGAAGGATTGGAAGATTTTTCACTTTGAAAGTTCTGGGGATCTGTAAGACCTCTGCCTGATAGGGCGGAAGGGCAGGAATTTCCATTGCATTTAAAACATACTTGGACAGGTACTTGAAGAGATGTAACCTACATTATTACAGGCCAAGAGTTGGAAAAAGGGAATATGCCAGATCGCTCTTTTTGGCTGACTCAGACATTAGGGGCCAAAAACGCCTCTTTCTGTCCTGCAAATGTGAATGATTTGATGATTCTATGAATTCGGGTAAAATTCAACCCTGGGCCTGGGACTTTTTTTTAGTCATCCTATACAAGTTAACATCCGCGTTTTCGTACCTGCAAACGAGATCAGAATCAAAATACTGAAATAGAGTCCGGTAGCCGGAGGTGATCAGTTCACGGCTGATGGACATTGTGGAGGCGAAATAAATGACCGTCGATTCATTGCAGAGATGTTGAAGCGTCTCTAGAATTAAAGGAAGACTTGAATAGTTGTAGACGATATCGCCACCCAAGATGTAGTCATAGTCGGATGGAAACTGAGTTTGGTCCAGCCCCCAGGAGAGTGCACGGATTTTGACGCGAGATTTCATGGAAGACGGAATATTGGCAGAGACGTTTAGTTGGATTTGCTGGAGGAGTTGTGGGTTGTCTGTTATGGTGACATCTCCACCTGGAAAGGGAAGATTTGAAAAACGAACAATTTGATTAATTGAATCCGCGGGAATGTGGCCACATCTAAAGCGGTGGTCCCGGGCAATATCTATATGCACACGTCCCGGAGAAGGGAGGGAAATGGCGAGCCAGGGAAGTGGCAAACGAGGGGATCCAGTTGTTGTCAGTGTGCAGCCGTTCGCAGAAGGTGTAAATTATATCAGAATTCAAATTAAATATTGCAGCCTTCAATACTGGTATCCCTTCGCAACCGCCAGATTTGTCAGTTAAACTTACAGCAATCTGCTCCAGAATGTTACAAGGGCATTACTTAAATGTCCACTCTGCACTTACACTCCGCTCACTCTATCTCGCGACAACATAAAAAACTCCCACGCATCCCAGATGTCTTCCTTTTTCAAACAACGCTCTTTTCCCCCCTCTGTCATCCAGACACCCCTCCACCGCGCCTCCTCCATTCCCCGATCCAGAGCTCTTAATCCCCCTTTCCCTCCCCGTCCAAACATAATAAAGAAAGGGTCTCCCTGTGTCCTCACTTTCCATTCCCCCAGACTCTGCATTCAATGTAGCATTCTCAAACATTTCCACCAACTCCAATTAGACCCCACCACCCAGAACACCTTCCACTCCCCACCCACCTCTGTCTTCCGCAAGGGCCATTCCCTTTGCCACTTGTTAGTTCATGCCACACTTCCCACCAACCACTCCAGCCCACCTCGTACCTTCCCCTGTAACCGTAAAAGATGCCACACCTGCCCGCACATCACCTCCCTCACCTCCATTTTTTGGCCCTAAACAACGCTTCCAAGTGAGAGAGCTTCACCTGCATCTCCTCCAACCTAGTCTATTGCATCTAGTGCTCCCGATATGGTCCTCTGTACGCTGGTGAGACCAAACGTAGACTAGGTGACCATTTCGCCAAGCTTCTCCGCCTGACCTGTAACAGCCAACCTAACCTCCGAGTCACTGCCTATTTCAACTCCCCATCCTATCCCCTCCAACATTTTCCTCCTCGGCCTCCTCCAGTATCGTAATGACTCAGAGCACAAATTTGAAGAACAAAACTATATCTTCCTCCCAGTCACCCTACAGTCCGGAGGACTCAACATTTAGTTCTTCAATTTCAAATAACCTTGCCAGTCATCCCCCACATCCCCTTCCAGCCCCACCTCCTCTCTTCAATACCACCTTCTGACCCTCCCCTCGAGCCACCAAACGGATTCATCCCTCTCATCGAACAACCAGGTCATACCTACAACCAGTGTCTACCTACAACCCACCATTCCGCCTCCACCCCTT